CTGTTTTATTTCGACTATTGCATTTTGGGTCATTATTTTCAGTTCTTGGAAAGATAACTTTTTGTTCTGTTTTTTTATAGTTTTTTTGGTATTTTTAGTGCAGCTGTAGCTTACCTTTACAGTGTTTCTGTTTAAAATTTTGTAAAGTTTGTGTGTTTTAAAGATGGTTTTTTCTAGTAAATTCAAAAACAATTTAGCAACATTTGTGGATATGTTTTTGTTTAATGGGGGTTAATTGTTAAACCATATTATATTTCGTTTACGATATTTTTTGGGAAGTCCGATATTTTTTAGTGCTTGTTCATATTTGTTTTTAGATTGGTTAAATATACTCAGGAAAAAAAGTTCTATAAAATTTTCTATAAAAATATGGCCTATAGAAACTCTATAGAATTCTATTGAATTTCTATAGCATTTCTGTTAACTTTTATAAAAATTTCTATAGAAATTTTTTTTTCTACTTTTTTTTATAGAAAAAAAGTTTTATAGCAATTTCTATAGAAATTAATAGACATTCTATAGAAATTCTATAAAGTTTCAATAGGCCATATATTTCAAAAGTTTATAGGAAGTTCTATAGAACTTTTTTTCCTAGGTAACTTTGTTTAAAGGATTTTGTGAAAGTTTGTTGCATTTTTTTGTGTTATTTTTGTGTTGTTGCATATTTTGTGTAAAAGTAGGTAAGTGTTAAGTGTATGATAATTTGTGGTGGGTGATTAGAAGATGTGTGAATGTGTTGAAGATTATCATTGCGTTTTTGAAAGACTTTGGGTATTTTGGGCTAAATTAAAGGTGAAATCAGTTTTTTATATTTATTTATATATCTTTAAACTTTTAGATTTTGTTTTTTCGCATTCATTCCATTTCTTGACTGATAGAATTATATTATAAACATTAGCATTTAGCTAATTTCTGATACTGCGGGTAACAGTAACATATATACTATATAAATATATATACATATATATATATATATATATATATATATATATATATATATATATATATATATATATATATATATATATATATATATATATATATATATATATATACATGAATGCCAAAGTAGAGTAAATTTAGTAAAAACTAAATAATTAAAAAAACCTTTTTTAAGTGTTGTGGATTTTTGATGGCATTCATGATATTGATCATATAATTTCTATTATGACAACACTTAGCCACGTGTTCATTTTGCTTGTTTAATAAGTTTAACGTTAATGAAATTATATGATATTTCTCCATTAAGATTTTAACGGTTCTGCCTGGTCTAGACCATTTTACGGACAGGATTTAAACCCTTTTTTTTTGTTTTCCCAAATTTAGAAAGTTTGGTTGAGTTAGCTTTACTTTTCATAAAGGATAGAATCTTTATGCTTGTAAAAACGACCTTTAATTGTTTTTTCTGTAAGTCCAATATAGAAAAACCTTCTTCCTGTGGGCTTTTTTGACATTGCAAATGTAAATGGCATTTTAACTTAAATATTTTCCATTTAGTGGACATAAACATAATATATAATAGACATAAATCTGACAGCAATTACATGATGGAGGAATAAGGTTAGAAGTATTTGATAGTATTTTGTTGTCGTAAGCACGGTACGTTTTTAAAACGTTTTTGGACGTTTTTATTAGGTTTAAATCTAATAAAAACGTCTGAAGAACGTTTAAAAAAGGTCTGGTGTCCACTGGTAATTTTATTTTTGTTTTGAAGTCACCTATAGCATATCATTACGTTTCGAATAAACAGTTTATTGAATTTATGATTTTTTAAAAAATTATTATCAATTAAATTTAATAAAAATTTATTTACGTTTGCCTTGAAGTTTATTTAAAAAGGAAGGTTGAATTTAAAGCAAAGAAGTACTTAATGGAGGTTAACCTTTTTATAATAATGCTTTAACTCTAGTTGATTTAAAGAGATCCTTACTCCTATTTCCAACAACAAATGTTTCAAAAACTTTTGTAACTAAATTTTTTTTAAATTTCTAGATTCTAATTCACTTTTGAGCACGTTCGTAAGTCTTAAATCATTGAAAAATATTTCTGTTTTTTTTTATTTGAATAACAACATGTGTGAAAGCGTCTTGTGTTGTGTAGATGCACTTGACAATTCTTGACGTAGAATAAATTGATTGGTTCATTTTCGTTGTTTTTTTTATTGAGTTTGAGTTTGAGTTTATCTTTTTCAAAAATCAATTCTTTATGCATATTTTGAATTCTTATATTTTGATGAGAAAGTACTACCAGGCACTTCCATGCTGAAACAAACCGGACACTCGTGTGTCCGATCATTTACCTATATTAAATTTCAATTTGTAAACATTATCTTAGAACAAGATGACTGATTCAGCACTAATGGCGTCTAAAGGTAGCGTATTCCATACATTGGCGATGCAATTAGTGAAGAAATTGAATCTTTCTTTGCAGTTTTTTTTACCACTTGACGTTCAATTCGAAGATAAGGTCTACGAAAATTGTATTTGGAAATCGATGGTTCGCAGACTTGAGGGTTCTCAAAAATGAATGACTTTCAACAAAACGAGTCCACGACTTCTAAATATTTTCTTAGCCTACCAAGTTTCCTGTTGGCTTTTGCTGTTGCTGATTTGACTTGATAGCTTACTTTAAGATTGTCTGATTGTACTCCCAGATCATGTTTGTGCTATTTTAAAACAAATGTTTGTGTTATTATCAAACAGAAGTTTTTTAAAAGTTTTTTAACAACAATATAAATATCATAGTCTTGTTTGTTTTGTTTTTTCTCTTTTTGTTTGTCTAGAACATTTTAGTTTTAATTATTTACATCAAAATGAAGTAGATAGTATTTTTCGTAGAGAGCGATAACAATTTGAAAACCTTTTTGCTCCATGGAGTTAACCATTTTCTTATTCTAGCAAGATATACAGTTTTCTTTATAGTTTTGCTTGATATATCATGGCCGACAACACGGGTTTCGAAAAAAGGAGGGGGGGCGCAATTGTCATTTTTTAAAAAAAGTCCTCTATATCCTGAGTTTTTTTTATTTTTTAAAAAAGGTATTTTGAAAAATAATTGTGAGGAAGGGGGTAATAATAGTTGTATCCCCATAATAATAAGTAAAATAAGACTACAATACGGCTTGCATAAATTATAATTGCTTGCATAAGTTATACTTTTAGTTTGCTTGCATAAATTATACTTTTAGTTTTTTTTATGGATTGATTAAGCACTTTAGTACAGTGGAAAAGATTTTTATAAACCCCCGAAAAAACAAGCTTTTGAATTCCAAAAAATGAAGCTTGATACTAATATATCTTGATGATCCTGATATAATGATATTATGGTATTAATTTACGACTGTTTTTCTTAAGCTAATGCAAGGACCTTTCTTAAGCTAAAACAAATATTACTTCGCATTAAGGATTATTTTGTAGATTTAGTTTTAAAAAACATTTTTTAAGGTAACATTGAATGGAATGCAAAAGTTACCCCATAGGTCAAAAATTAATTGAAAATTAGAGGAATGTCTAACATCTGATAAATCTTTCACGATTAAATGAAATAAAATTAAACAAAGCAAACCCAAATGAATTAAAAAATGTACAGATGCATCTAATGTCAACAGATCTAAAAACCAACTCTTGCAGAAAATTTAAATCTACACCTAATAGTTTTGTATATTACTGTTGAAAACAAAATATCAGAACCTGAAGAAGTAGAAATATATATTGTTATTTCAGATATTGAAATAAACACCAAAAAATCTCTCACAAAGAAAACCAACAAGAAATGACAACGCTGCGAGACATTGTTGAAATCAGATACTGAGTTATTAATGTGTTGTAGAGCTTAAATTTAAAAACAAAAATGTAGATTTTTGGTAGTAGGGGAGATTGGGGCTAGTTGCCTCTGTTTTTACTCTTTGAGCTCTGCAGGCCTGAAGGCAAAATTTTTTGTAAATATTAAAACCCAGTCTTAAAGAGTATGAATTTAGGTAATACTTTTAATTTCCATTAATATTTAAAACTTTCTTGGGGTCCTTATGGGGCCTCCTGAAAAAAAAAAAAAAGATACCTACCGTACACCATCCCGGAGTAAGTTAGCGCATTTTATAAAAATGATTTTTAATGAACTATTGAATGCAAAATTTGTAGAAATATTTTGACTATTTATTTTGGCAACAATTTTAAGCTTAAAGTTTAATTTTACTTTTAGCTGGTACCAACTATTAGTGCGTATAACAGCCAAATCAGTAGCCCTCTTTTTATCTGAAAAAAAAGAGTGAGTCCTTTTTTTTCTTTATAAAACTAACTATTTTCTTTGTAAAATATAAAAGGAAACGATGTTCCAAAAGTTACGTTTTTGTTTAAAAACAAATAAATCCTAATATCTTCCATGCCCATGTGCGAATCCTTACAATATTATAGTGAACGATGAAATAGTTAATTAGGAAGGTTCTATGTAATTTTTTCTCATTTTTTGATGAAAGGTTCTAAAGATAAACAGAGTTCGTAAACGTACCCTTGCTGCCAATTAGCCCCGGTCTCCCCTATATATCTTCAAAAAAATTTCCATTTTGTTTGTCAAAACCTATAATCATAATTTCAGCTTACAATGTAAATTAATATTTACATCAAAAGTAAACAGCACCTAACCTTAATAGATTTATGGTAAAAAAAAAATAATAACCCCATTTTTTAAAATAAAAAACAAATAAGCTCGTATTCATGTTTTTTATGCGGATTTAAATTGAAAAAAAAAAAAATCTTTTTAATAAAAAGTTAAAAATATTGCATATTTTAATTTTTTCAGTCATTATTTTACAAGCATGGTCCATAATTGAGTTTTTTTATTATTTATAAAAACTATAAATATTATCTGATATTAAACTTCTCCGTAGTTTCAGCTTAAATTTTACTGAACGCCTAATTAAGTGATTATTCACAATCTTTTTAATCTCGCAAAAATTGTTTATTGACAAAATGCCATAAATACTGCAACTTTATCAACAATGTAATGCAGCTATAAAAACTTTAAAGGTTGGTAACAAGCTTAAAAGTTGGTAATAAGCTGAAGGTGTAGTTATAGAAACTTTGTTGATAATAAAAATCAATAAAAAAAAACAATAAAAAAATATCGAGCAAAATAGAAATAACCATTTTTCATCAATGTCACAAATCTTAACAAAATAACCATTACAAATCTTTTGAACTCATCCATTAGCACAACAGGAAACATTTACGAAATGTTTGGAAAAATTTAGTAAAACCACCCATGAGCATCATCGATTCTTTGTACATCCGTTTTGGCTGTACAAGACAATCACAATGGAAAATAAAATTTTTGTACGAATTTTGGTTACATTTTTAATGATAAGAGTATTTAATGAAACATTTTCGCTTTGTATAAAAAATATAATTGTATTTTGGGTTCAAAGACATTTTATAAAGTGATAAAAGGTAACGAAAAAAAAAAAGTACCGTAATCATTTTATTTAACTTAGCATTATATCTGTTTGTATTTTTTAAATATTATATGTTATTTTTTTATATTATATGTTGAATATGATATTATATATTTAATTGGAAATTTGTATTTAAATATCTTTTTGTATGGCTTTTTGTGTTTATTAGTATTATCAGTATTATATCTTCTTTTTAACTATTTGTATATATGTATATATATATATATATATATATATATATATATATATATATATATATATATATATTGACTAATTAAGGGTATTAGTACTTTTAACTAATATATCTTCTTTTGTTCTCTATTTTCATTTTTAAATATTATATCTTCTTTTCTACTAGTTTTTTTTTGGTAAACTTTCCACTTGATTTATTGACCATATAAATGTTGAATATTGAGTAATATATAGCAGTAATCAATTGAGTTTCTTAGCTATAAAACATTTGTTCACAAATAAATAAATTAAAAATAATAATTTCTTTATATCTCTGTACTAGAAGAATTTGCAGCCAGCAGATGTTGCAGCATTTAGACAAAAACGGATAGGAAGGAGAAGGCAATAAAGGGTGGCTTGAAATGGTCTATTAAATTTAATGTTTTTAAAAGTTTTTTTCTTCTCAAAATGTCAATTACTATACCGCTTACATTCAAACTTAAAGACTTTTTTGCATAAAATAAAAGTAGTTCGCTAAAACTTTTTTTCATAATGTTAATACAATATACGATTGCGGTAATACTCAGCGTTAATTCACTTAGCTTATTGTGATGTAATAATCCGTCAAAATGATTATTTTGAGGACGTTCTTTTTAAGTACAGGATTTAAAGAGTTGAATAATTTAAAAATCTTTTTCTTTGAAAACAAAAATATGCTTATGATGGTAAATAATTGTAAAAAAACAAAAAACTATTTTTTTTTTTTTTTTTTTTTTTTTTTCATTCACAGTTATATTAAAACTGATTTGATAACACTGATAACAAGTCAAATTTAGCTTTGTATATACTTTCAAATTAGAAAGAAAAAAGAAACAAAATTTTATTAAAAAATACGTAGATAAACAAAGATGGTTTACAAATTTCTGCAAAAAGATACTTCCCGCAGAAGACTTCCCGCAGAAGATACTTCCCGCAAAATGATTGTCATTGCATTAATACTATTAACTAAAATAACTTGATTTAAAACATTTATTATTAATATCATTTGTTTTTTTTTTAACGTTCAGCATTGGTAATTAATGTCTTTAAATAAATATATATTTAATTATCTAATTATATTTCATTTATCGCGTAGGTAATTAATATATTTACATGACGGTTGTGACCAGAGGTAAGATTTTTACAGAAAAAGGAGGAGAGTGATTACTTTATTTAAAATATTAAAGAAAAGTATTTAATGCATTGTTTTTCAAATTTTTTTTTCAAAAAAGTAAGTTTTGATTTCGTTAGATATATTTCTTTTTTTTTTTTTTTTTTTTTTTTCATTATTATTTACTTTCATAAAAGCCATTTTTTTAATTTTTTATTTAAAATCATAAAAATAACTTTTTGTTTTGCTAATCTATGTTTATGAAGCTCGTAAACATATATAAGCTCCTCATTCTAATATATATTTATTAGCCTCATGTATATAGTTCATAAAAGTTAAAAACTATTGTTTTACGAATATATATGTATACATATATAGTTTGTAAAACGTTTTACAAACTATATATATATATATATATATATATATATATATATATATATATATATATATATATATATATATATATATATATATATATATATATATATATGCATACACACACACACACACACACACACACACACACACACACACACACACACACACACACACACACACACACACACACACACACACACACATATATATATATATATATATATATATATATATATATATATATATATATATATATATATATATATATATATATATATATATATATATATATATATATATATACACAGTAGCCTAGGAAGCTTTGAAATAACCAATTTTTAAACAAAAAGATTATTCCAAATTTTTTATCGCTCATATGTATGACGAAAAGATTCTTCACAAAATAAAATTACGATGATAGGAGAATGGGAACAAAAAACCCTAAAATCTTAGCTCCTCTGCCCCAAACATGAGAGCAACAAGTTAATGCAATATTTTTTGTACTATTTTCAACTAGACTTAAATTCATCGATAAATTTTAAATTTCATAGTTAAATATTTTAGTGTTCAAAAAATATGACTTTTTAAAATTTCCAACCCCTTCAAATTGAGGGGGGTTTAGACTTTAAATGGTCATAATTTTTGAACACTAAAATATTTTACTATGAAATTAGAAATTTATCGATAAATATAAGTCTAGTTAAAAATAGTGCAAAAAATATTGCATTAACTTGTTGCTCTCACGTTTTGGGCAGAGAGGGGGGAGGCTAAGATTTTAGGGTTTCTTGTTTCCATTCTCCTATCATCGTAATTTTATTTTGTGAAGAATCATTTCGTCATACATATAAACGTAAAAAAATTTGGAATATTCTTTTTTTAAAAGTTGGTTATATCAAACATTTAAAAATTCTTTCTACGCCACTATATATATATATATATATATATATATATATATATATATATATATATATATATATATATATATATATATATATATATATATATATATATATATATATATATATATATATATATATATATATATATATATATATATATATATATATATATATATATATATATATATATATATATATATATTAAAAACTGTGTCAGATTTGATATTTGAGTAAACACTTTTTTCAACGTAGAACCTAAAACTACATTTACAAAGCTTAGGGTGGAATGCAAGAAGCAAACTTGAGCCAAATTCGACTTGAACTTTACTACAAAGTAAAGTTACAAAACCAATAGCGGCAGAGTATTTTTTGAGGGGAAAACCCATACTTTGTCACTATTGGTTGCAATGTTAAGTTCAAGTCAAGTTCGCTTCTTGCATTCCACCCTTAGAGTCTAGCCAAATCGTAAAACTAAAAAGTTTACAAATTCAAAATTTGATTTTTTTTAACAAATGTTAGGGTATATATTTATTATATTTTATGTTATATATTTTAGTTACTAATTTTATCATTTATCCCATTTCAAGACAGTTTCAAGAAAATTTCATTTCAAGAAAATTTATTATCTAAATTACATGTAGTTATTCTCGGTGTTGCTTTTCCGGTTCAGTGTGGATAGGGTTTGAGACCGCTCTTCAACACTTCTGATGTCGTATCCAATGCCAACAAAACAAAGCAAAAAAATAAAAACTAATAATAGTAATTGTGAGTCCGATAGTTGAGATTTGAATTATTAAAGGTTGAGTTTTGAAACACCTTAGGTATTAAGTATTTATATTTCAAATGTAAGTCGTTCCGATTAGAATACGAAGATGTACATGTGAATTTACGGTACGCCATGTGTATTTAAAATTTGTGTAAATTTTTTTTTATAGAAAAAATAGTCAAACATTAAAGTTAATTTAATAAGTTTGTGTTTATTACTATTTCTGATACTATCATAGTCAGAATTTGTATCATGGTTTATTGCATTGCTTCGCTTGCAAAAATTTCTTATTTCCAAATTAATAATTTAAATTAAAAAAATAGAGATAATGTTAAGTAAATAGATTTTATAATTTAGTAACAAAATATAAGTAAAATAAAAAATTGTTATTTCTGAACAAAAATAGCCCATAAATGAAACATTTATTTATAAACACAAAAATTTTTTATATTAAAGAGGATGTTTTAACTGATAATTCATAAGTAGAAACATCCTTTTTCTTAATAACATATTTGAATTTATGTATGAATAGTGTGTATTAGTGGAATATAATGAAAATAGCGCATCATTATAAAATGTTTAATATTATCATTAAAACAAATTTTTTTTAAAGGTGTAAATGTTGTTAAAAAACACAAGCATATATATATATATATATATATATATATATATATATATATATATATATATATATATATATATATATATATATATATATTAAAATTTTAAATAAAATTTGAAATCTGTCAATGAATGTATAACTAGTTATTATTTATGAAAAAAATTATTAATTCAACTCATTACCCTCATGTTTAGGTAGGGGTGCTAAGATTTTAGATTTTCTTGTTCCCATTCTTTTCATAGGAATACATAGGAACGTAAAAAAATTTATAATTTTTTTGTTTGTTTAAAAGTTGGTTATTTCAAACATTTAAAAACCTTTCTGTGCCGCTGTATATATATATATAAATAAATAAATAAATAAATATATATATATATATATATATATATATATATATATATATATATATATATATATATATATATATATATATGTATATATATATATATATATATATATATATATATATATATATATATATATATATATATATATATATATATATATATATATATATATATATATATATAGAGAGAGAGAGAGAGAGAGAGAGAGAGAGAGTGAAATAGAGTGCTCAATTTTCTTAATAGAATAGAGTAGAAATATATATATATATATATATATATATATATATATATATATATATATATATATATATATATATATATATATATATATATAACTATAACACATATATATATATATATATATATATATATATATATATATATATATATATATATATACATATATATATATATATAACTATAACATATATATATATATATATATATATATATATATATATATATATATATATATATAACTATAAGTAATGGAATTATATATATGTATATATAACTCCATTATTTGCTCTTCTATCAATTCACTTAATTCTCTTGTTTATATCTTTATTGCTAGGGAAGCTCTGACACATGACACAATGGAAGCTCTGACACATATATTAGCAAATCATTATGTGACTCTTTAAAACTTAACATACTCATTTCTAATAAAAGAGTTTCTCTGGCTGATCCTTCTTTATCTTGTCAAGTGAAAGGCAGAGTTTTAAATAACTTTACTTTATTTGGATTGGAGTACTCTAATAAATACGTTTTGGTTATACCCAATTCTTGCACATAAATCATACTCCATAGAGATTTCCTACAATTGTACTTTTTATCAATTATAGTGGCAAATAAAATTCTTTAAAAATCTGTTCTCTAACAAATGTTACATTGAAAGCTGGTACTCTTTTTTTTTTTTTATCTTTAAAATGTAGACCAATTGCTTCACCTTCTAGACGATATAACTCAAAGGACAAAGTATTCATTGAACAAGAAACAAAAAAACTTTAGGAACTAGATATATTTGAACCCAGTAACTCCACTTGGCGATCACAAATAGTTGTTACTATGAATGAGAATCCTAAGAAATGCTCAGTCATTGATTACTCACAAACAACAGATTTACTTGATGCTTATTCTTTACCTAACCTCAATGGATTAACTCTGTTGCATAATATTCATTCTTTAGCACATTTGATTTAAAAAGTGCTTATCACCAAATACCTCTCCTAGAAAGTGACGAGTATTATACTGCCTTTCAATGGACAATAGACATCTTTTTGGATTTAAAAGAATTCCTTTTGGCCTCACTAATGCTGACGCACAAATTCAAAGAATCATGGATAAGTTTATTCAAGAAAACAAATTAGAAGACACCTTCACATCGAGATAACTTGCTTGTATGTGGCATTTGTAAAAAAAAACATGATTTCCATTAAAAGAAATTTCTTGAAGCTTCTAAGAAAGCAATGTTTACGTTCAATGAAGAAAAGTCTACTTTGTGTATAAAATTCTTTTTATAAAAAGTGGTTCCTTTTCTTTTGATCCAGAGTGGTTAAAGCCATTAATTGAAATGTTCCCACTGATGGTGCTATTCTCTGCCGAGTCCTTCAAATGTTCTTATACTATTCTGAATATATCGAACATTTTTCTCTAGATTTTGTTATCTATGACTATAGTTTGCAATATTTTAAGTTGTCTGTCAATTGTTATCTTGCTCTACAATCTTCATCTTTTCTCTTCCAGTAACTTCCAACTCTAATTAGTGGTTGCTTGCAGCCTTTTTGGAAGCAAAGCTAATAATGCTAATAAAAGTTCATAATTAAAAAAAAATTCAGTTAAACTCAATAGATGTATTTTTAATATAAAAGATGTAAAGACTTGTTTCATCTTAAATGTAAACCTCCAGGTGGCAGAAGAGGCAGGGTTATCTACAACTACTTAAGTAATTGTGTAAAGTTGTGAGTTTTCTTATATATAAAGCTTTTTTCGAAATATATATTATTTGTTGATAGAAATAAGGTAATAGTTGAGGTTTTAACCCCTTTCCCTCCATCCAAAGTCTGTTGTAGAGGGTTCTAAAATATCCTTTCTTGCACCCTTTTTATGGCCTAAACATATATTTGTTGTCGCTTAAAATTTTTTGACTTATTGCTTAAACTATTGATAGAAGATTTTTGATTTAGGCCCAAATTGGCTTAATTATTTCAGACCATAAATCACTCTACGAAAAGCCGATATTTTGTAAAAAGCAAAAACTTAATTTGTTTAAAAGTAATTGAAAAGAAATAAATAAAAAGTTAAAATAAAAAATTCTATGGAGCTAGTAATCTGAAATTTTTATTAACTTAAGTAAAATTTTAAAAATTTATTATTGACTTGCTATTGAAATTTGTAAAAAACAAATTAAAAAAACAGTTAAAATACTGATGCAAATTTGTTCAGCAGCAACTAAATTTAAAAAAAGTATCTAACTATGATAACTCGACATTCCCAAGCAAAAACATTTCTTTTTTTGGCATTAATGATACAAAATTTTGCTCATAATGTGTTTACATGTGAATGTAAACTTTTACATATTATATTTTTCTGCTTCACTGGTGAAAATGTTTTTTAGCTCATTATAATCAGCATAGACAGGATTTTTTTGATATTTCAGAGATAAAACTTTCAGGCATTGTAGAAACTGCTAGTTCAAGTATGTACATACTTATGTCAAATGAGATTACAGTGTTTGGAGCCTTTTCCACATTTCATCAATAATGACTCATTATCAATTAATTATCTAGATTAATTGAACTAATTACCTGGAATCAATTTGATTGCTGCTATTAATACCTTAGTGTATAATTTTTTCTAGTTTATACATTTATTTTGTAATATTGTGGTGAATGGTACTGGTAGCATTCTCACAATTTTTTTTATTGTTATCAAACATTTTTTAAGGATGCATCAAGCTTGCATACTATTTGTCTTATTAATTACCTAAAAATTTAGTTTTATCAAAGTTTCAAAAACTGCATGAACTTCCTTATTTTTTGATATTTACTTTAAGAAGTTGTTTTTAATGTATTTTTAAAAAGTTTTTCTTTTATTTTTATTACATCTAGGCATCCCTTCTATTTGTTTTCCTTTAGGTGCTTTCGGCCATGCTATGATTTGATTAAAACTTATAACTCATATTTTTTCTATTATTAAAATAATAGAAAAAATATGAGTTTACCCTATTATTGAACTTACCATAAAACTGACTGAGATCCTATTTGAGATTTTCTTTGTAATGGTAAGAGGGTACTCTACAACTATACCACTGTTGCATTATAAATGTTACAGCTACAAAGAGTGAAGAAATATGAAAATAATTTATTTAGATCTACTAAAAACTTCTTAGAGTTTCATAGTTTTCAATTTTTTCTTTTTAATAGTTTTGTAAATATTAGGGTAAAAATTTATGATTAGTCGATGGACTTTTTTTATTGCAGAATTGTTGATTATTTATGATTAATCAATGGACTTTTTTATTCCAGAATAATTGATTAAAAAAAGTTTTTAAATTTGTAAAAAAAATTGTTGCATTCAAAAGTTTATACTTTGTCATTTTTTATTCTTAGTTCGTAAACAACAAAGGAAGATGTCTATTCACTCCTTTGAAGAAGAAGAACAAGAAGAACAAGAAGAACAAGAAGGTTTTTTAAATGATTATTTTGACAATAATGCTAATAACAATACATCAAGAAAATTTGAACATCGCATGTTTTCTTGTGCTTCATGTATATTATTTGATTCAAAAAACCCTATTATAGTGACTGAGACAGACGGATTTCCCATTCGCAGAGTGGCTTCTTGTTCAGTATGTTGTTGGGATTTTGATGATAATGTTCTGTGTGTTCCAGATATTCAAAGAAATTTGTCATCAGACTCAAGAGCAACGTCATCTTCTTCAGAAGATTCTTTTATAACCTCAAATTCCAAACTTAAAGAATGTTCTTTTATATCTGACTTTAAGAGTTTTGAAAAAAAAGAAAAAGAAAAAACTTTAAATAGTAAATCAAGTAGTGACATTTCAGACTTGACTTTTTCTCTGCCACCATTAAGACGGACAGATTCTTATAACAGTGCTATTAATATTACAGAAAATGATTCATTGAAAAATGATTTTAAAAATGACTTTAGGAAAAAAGAAAATCGTGCTTCTCACCGTAAAAGTAAGCACAAAAGAAACTTCATTGAAAAAGCATTTAGGCGAAATAAGCATCGTACCCCACCTGATGGAACTGAAGTGTCTTGTGTAGTGGTAGATGATCATTTAAAATCCAATAATTTTGATTCCAGTGAAAATTGCAAAACATCTGATTGTGAAATACGCCAGCCAACCATTAGCATTAATGCAACTAAAGAACTTGATGAAATATTTGGAAAAATTACAAAAGTTTCAGAATTAAAAACAAAGGAAGAAGAAGAAAATGACTATTTTAGCTGTTCAGATCAAGAAAATTCTGATAACGAAAAAAACAAAAAACAGATTAGTTTATTAAAGCGACTTTCTCCTAATAGATCATTTAAAAAGTTACCAAGATCGCGTAGTCTGAACAATCTGTCAAAAAATTGTTTACCTTCTAGTGGATTTATAAGAACGCAGTCATCTATGGACTTATCCACAGTTATGGATTATGACTTTATGTATGATGGTTTAGAAGCTAAAGAAAGTGAAAACTGGAATTCATTTTTAAAGAAGATTAGTGATATTTCTTTATTTGAAAAGTAAGTTTTTATATACAAGTGAATATATTCTGTTTTTTTTTTTTTTAATTTTCAAATTGTTCTTTTCTTATACTCAGGAGGGAGTGGTTTTGAGTGCATTGTACTACTACTGTAACACATTACACAGGATAGGGAATTGTGAAGACTATCACTGCTCATTACACATGAGAGAGCATTATGAGTATTACCATTATTATGTATTTTTATGGTGAAATGAATTTTTTTTTACTGATCTTATTTAAGCTTCAAACTTTTACCATTTTATAGTCATGTTCCGGTCACACGAAACATTGAATTTTTATCAACTTTTACACTTAATGACAACCAAAACGAAAAATTTAATGTATTTAATAATTAGTTTAATATTTTTATCAGTTGTGAAAATAGCTATCAATTATCTATCAATTGTGAAAATGTTACATTATGGTTAATAAGTGCATCAAAGTTTTACTTTTCAGTTTTCCAAAAAGCCTTATCAAATTGTTCAGCAGCTATTGTTAATAGTTTATTGTTTAACTATTGTTATTTTGTAATACTTATCATGATCAAAAATCTGTCGGCTTTTTAGAATACGGTTTCACCGCCAAAAGTTCATATAAAGCTAGCATCATTAATTTTCATATAATATGTATGTTCTATTGGTTGTAGACAAATGTCTATAATAATATTTTAAATATTTTTAAAAAAAGAAATGGTTAGAAAAAAAACATGTTTATTTTTTTAATTGGCGTTATTTTTTGCAACAATATTTCAATATAATTTAAAAGAAAGAAAAAAAAAGTATATGTATTCTTTAATTATATTTGATAATTATATTTTACTTTAATATTTAAATATTTATTAATTACATTTTACTTTAATTATATTTGATAGGAACTTTTCTCTTCGATAGGAACTTTTCTCTTCGACATTTATGGCAAAAACTAGTCTCCCATCAAGACTTGACTTCACTATTTGAAGATTCTCTCAGATGTATAGTAGAAGATATGGAAAAGGTGCATAAAAAATACGAAGGATTAGAAACACTTTTTGCATCGTAAGATATTCTAATAATTAAAATTTAATTATATAATAATGATATAATTGTACATTCTATATAATATTTTTGACAAAAAAAAATTTGCTTGAGTAGATTTCTTTTTTTTTTAAAAAATGAATTCAAACTTTTTTTTTATCCAAGATACTTTGACTAGTATTAATAAATCTAAATTAATTTTAACAAGTAAAAATTGAATTTTTAATCTACTGCAAAAATCAACTTTTTGACATGTTTTTTGAATTCCCAAATTTATTGAAACAAATCACCTTCACTCCTTAATTTTTTTTTTTGTTTGTTGATGATAAGTAGTTGTGATGATATAATCGAAGCCATTTTTTTTTGGTTGGTTTAAAATTTCATTAAAGAGATCCCAAACCTCATGTTGTGTTCGTATTAAAGAGTATGATAAAAAAAAATGTTTGAGCTAAATTTTTTTAAAATTAAAACAAAATAATAAATAAATCTTTTTTATTTTAGTCTAAGCTCGTCTTCTCTGTTTTGTTGTTGTCAGCATAAAATATGCTGTAATCTACAGACTTGATAATTTATTCAAGTATGCTTTTTTTTGTTGACTTTTTTGTTAGTTTACATAATCAATCTTTAACACCAACAAAAAAAAATCAATGACATCATGTACTGAAACTCTTAGAAAAAAAAAAGATCAATCTGTAGATTATTGCATATAATATGCTGATTTTTTGGCCTACAACAAAATGTTATCTTGAGTCTGATATCACTTCTTTGACAGTTTGAGGCTCACAGTGGTTTGAAAGTTTTAACTCTAACAAAACTAAGTTATTTACTGCAAGCAAATATTGCAATACTGTCAACATTTTTATATTAATGAATGGCTACCCTCTCACTGAATCCTCTTTATGCTTCCTTGGATTATCTTTTACTAGTTACCTTTTATAAAAACCATATATACAATTGATTGCTAAATTAGCATCTGCTAAGGTTGCTTCTCTTTATCGTGCTTGCTATTTTCTCTCTCCTGATTCCATTTTCTAACTCTTCAAATCTTTTATCCGTCTCTTTATTGAATACTCTTGTCATATTTGGGCTGGTTCTTGTAATGATGCTCTTTCTTTTTCTGCAAATACTATCATGGTTGCTGCTTAAATAAGCTATCATCTCTAGTTCTATTAACTAAAACTCAATCTTGCTTGACTTGTCATTTAGCAAAGTCTCATTCTTTTACTGTTTCTAATTTTTTTTCCGCACTTTAACCCTTTGGAACTTTCTCCCATCTTCATGTTTTCCTGAATCATAAAACCTTTGACTTTTTAAGACTTTTGTCAATTGTTTTCTTGTTCTATAACTCCTAACTTAATAGTGGTTGCTTGCAGTCTTTTTGGGAGTGACTCAAAATTATAAAAAAAAAGCATCAACATTTTAAAGATTTTAAAATAAATTCTAGATAAGTTAAAATCATGAGGATCATTTTGAATGACGATATTGCATATTGCTCATCTTTTGCATCTGAACCTTGTAAACAAAAGGTTGCCAGTAAAGAGATCTTTATTTTTAAGATCTTCTTTTCTGGCAACCTTTTGTTTACAGGGTTTGCAGAGTTTCTTTGAAGAACCAATATTCAAACTTGACTATGATTCTTGTTGGAACTTCATAAGGATTTTTTAAAAATATTAAAGTAAAATGACTTAAAATTTAAATCAAATAAAAGTGTGAAAAGCTTGTCTGTAATTTTTTTCTTTTGCACTTTTTTACATCATATACTAATTTTTGCTTAAGTAAAATTTTACATTTACTTACTATTTATATGTTGTTGTTTTTTTACATTTAATAAATCACAACAGAATTTATGCCATGTAAACAAATTTAGAGCAGTTAACAAGAGTTAGTGACTAAAAAACCACAAAGCAAATCTGATCAAAATAGCATATTTATTACACATTTATATATAAATAGCACTACATGGTTTTTAAAACTACTGTATCGGTGTCATATAGATTACAGAGTTTTGGTTAAAAAAACAGGACTACTTGGTGAACCAATACTTAATGCAAAAAACAGGGTTATTACTAAAATAAAAGAAAACACTGGACTGCAGTTAGATATGCGTTATAACCCTGGTGAGAAGGGAGGGACATCTACAACATGATCAAAAGATGTAGATTTTTTTCTGAAGAACTAATTTTTACCATAAAAGATCTTTGGTCTCCGATGTACAAAACATTTACAACTACATTTTCAAATTAGTATAATACTTTGTATTGTTTCTTGTCAGCGTAAAATTGAAATAAACAAATTTCAGGAGATATGCAATAATGCTACACTTAACATTATTACAAATAGTTAAGAATTCGTAATGATGGTTATGGTCTTGGCAATTTATTTATAATTACATATATTTTAGCATATATATATATATATATATATATATATATATATATATATATATATATATATATATATATATATATATATATATGTATATATATATATATATATATATATATGCAATTACATATACATACAGCATGTCCCATCTAATTTAAAAACCATTGAGACATCCTATGACAACCCCTAAAATGATCACTTGTGCGGTCATGACCATTCCAAATTTAAAATGGAGCCTAAAAATAAATTCCTTGGCCCCAAAAGCCCCTATAAACACATATATATGTCTATATTTAACCCATAAATAGTTTTGCCATTTTTAGACAATTTTGGACCACTGTGCAGTTTAGGGATGAATAAAAGATTATTGTAGATAGAATTAAATGTTTTTTGTCCCTGAGCCACTCTAACTGATGTTACCTCAGACTTTGTATTATATCATCAGATGATGCATTTGCCACAACATTTTATGTAAGGTGTTATGAAAGTTTTTAATGTAGCATTGTTATCTTTTTTGAAAATTGTTTTATGGTATATTAAAAAATACCATTTGTCATGGTAAAGTGTTTTGTTCATATAATTCTAAACATGCTTGAGAAAAATTTTCTAAATAATAAAAATTTGTCAGAAATAATTTAAATTTATTTAGTAAGTTGGAACAAGAAGAAAAAGAAAAGGCTAAAATATATGACGATGTTGAAATAGTTATTCAGCAAGAACGACAATGTGCTCATGAAAAGGTAATTTGGTATTTTAGTCAAAACTTTCATTTTAAAAAAATTGAGGAATTTTATGTTATTTTGTGTGTTTTTAAAGTTTATGTTATTTTATATTTTTAAATTTGGTGATTAAGATTATATATATGGAGACACAGCTTCGATCAGAGCATCAAAGTGCAATTGAATCAAGGGATTTAGAAATACAAAATATTTTACGTCTGAACAATGACTTGTCTTTAAAGAATACAAAGTATAAAGAAGAATATGAACTTCTAAAATCGACATTGCAACTGGTAATATTTTATTTAAAAACAAAATAATGCATTTTTTTTGTAAATCCTGATATTTTTTGAAATAACAAATTTGGATTGGTTTGTGATATTTGTTTGAAGTTCTAATTTATTGCACTTCATTGATGATATTCATTGATGATATTTATTACAACATTTAAAGTATTGATGGAATGGACAGTGAGTGTTTTGATAGTGATTGCATTGACAGTAATGGTATTAACAATCATGGCTTTGACATTGAGGGTATTCATAATGAGGGTATTTAAAATGAAGCATTAAAAGTGAGGTTTAAAATGAGGGCATTTAAAATAAGGTCATGTACATTGTTTAGATGGAGCAGCAAGTTAACCAATGTTTGAAAAGTGAAGAAGAATTAAGGAATGAGAATGCTATACTTATTCAGGTAAACAGGATTACAAGTTTCAACAAATATAAAAATGTGATGACCTATAATTAACCTTATGTTTTAACAGGAGAAAATTTTTCTTATTCAAAAAGCTGAACAAACAGAAGAAATTGTAAAAAACCTTAAAGAAAGTGTTGCCTTGATGCAAAAAGATGTAGAAAATGAAAAAAATAAAAATAAAACGTGAGTTCTTTATAGTTTTGTAGTTATTGATTCTGTAGCTTATTGTAATGTAGTTTATAGTTTCATATTTTATTTATTTCATATTTTATTTTATTTTATATTTTATCGTGCTGTAAATTCTGTTGCATGAAGTAACTTGAGAAAATATTGTTGACTTGACAATTGTTGTTGACAATTTTTTTTCCATGTTATTACTTTTAGTTTGTTACGACAGCATAATGATATGTTAGAGGAAAAAATGCATTTGGATTCTAAAATTGACACCTTAACTGCAGCTTTTACCAATCTTAAAAAGCAAAATGATTACCTCATTACCAGTCTTCATGTTAAATGTCCAACAGCAGAAATTTTTAATGTACATAATTTAAACAATAAAAATTATGAATTCGATGAATTTACAAAACAAGATGTAATCAGTACTCTACAGTCTTCTTATTTACTTAAAAACAAAGCTAAATTTTCAAATGAAGATGCACAAAAAAAACTTTTCTCTAAAGCAAAAACTTATAAAATTAATAAATTAGATATAAATAATAAAAATGTTTATTCTCCACTTCCAATTAAAAAAGTTCTTAACACAGATGACTGGCCATTATCTCCACCTAAGCTGACTGATGAAAACAATAGTAGTCAAAATGAGTTGCATAAAAGTGAGTTGTTAAGTTCATTTGATAGTCATCATCCAACTGAAAGCTACATTCGGTCTTCCTTCAAAAACAAAATCAGTAAACAACTCTCCTATAAAAGTAATGAATTTAATACTAAGTCGTTTACAAATGGATGTTTAGCAAAAGTAAGTGATCAAAAAAAACTTATTATAAAATAAATTTTATTTTAAAAAAATATTAATTTTTTCTGAAAAAATTAATTGATAAACTTGTTAAAACTCATTAGACTTCATCACTTCGCTTTGCTGAATGTGAAAAAAATACATATAAAATAATATTCATTGGAGATTCAAATGTAGGAAAAACAAGTTTTATTCGTCGAGTTTGTTTTGGAAAATTTCGTGCTTCAAGAGAAGAGACACGCGTTAGTGATTTTTCTACGATTTGTGTCAATTCAGAGGGGAAAAATATTACTTTAAACTTATGGGACACTTTGGGACAGGAAAGGTAAAAGTTTATACTTTTTATATACATACATATATATATATGTTCCTTATTAAATTGCATTACACGCACAGCGACTTTATCAAAAATTTGCCTATTTAAACTGTAAATTAAACTTTTAGCTTTTTTGTATGAAAACTGTCGGTCTAAAGAATCAAATAAGTTAAAAAGTTTTAAGTCTGGACAAATAAGGGCAAACTTATTACTAAAAATGCCACTTAACTTATGTTACAAAGTTACAAGGTAAAAAGAAAAGTCAAAAATAGGGTGACATGCGTCATGGATGACCCGAAAAAAAAGGTTGCTACTTTTTTTTATATTAGGAGAATAGTAAATGAATTTTTTTTTTTTAAATGTCTAAATAAAAATATTTATATAATTCTTATTTTTATTTACTTATGTATATTTATATGTCAACCAAAATAAGAATACATAAACAAATAAAAAAACAATATAAATAATTTTAATTAACATTAAATTTTTTTTTTTTCTAATTTCTTCTAATATAAAAAGTTTCAGTGAGAACCTTGCCAAATCTATGCGACAAAATAAGAACTACTAAATAATAAATTCATTTTGTTAATGAAAAAGTACCAGAACTTAAGTAAATGCATGTAGTTTTAATTTACGTTTCACAAATTTAAAACAAAAATATGTTTAACTAACCATCGCTATTCAAAACTTTAAATGTAAAAACTTAACATTTGATATTCTTTCACATATATTGTTTAAAAGTTTTTAAATTTTGGAAAAAAAAGCTTGCTTTTGTTAACATAAAAATTGCAAAATTTCCTTCATTATTTTCTTGAAATATATATATTTTATAAAACCTGAGCAATAACAATTTGTACATGTTAGCTCCATTTTCACCCTAAAATAATTTCAATTATGCAAATAAATTCATGGTTAAAATATATATTTATGTATATATATATATATATATATATATATATATATATATATATATATATATATATATATATATATATATATATATATATATATATATATATATATATGTATATATATATATATTTATGTATATATATATATATATATATATATATTTATATATAAATATATATATATTATAAATATATATATATATATATATATATATATAAATATATATATATATATATATATATATATATATATATATATATATATGTATATATATATATATATATATTTATATATATATATATATATATATATATATATATATATATATATATATATTTATATATATATATATATATATATATATTATATATATATATATATATATATATATATATATACATATATATATATATATATATATATATATATATATATATATATATAATTTTTTTTCTTTTTTTCAACATCTTCATTTCCAACAAGGCTGCAAGCAAGCAAGATAACAGTTAACAGACAACTTATAATGTTGAAAATTATATGAATCAGGAAAACAAGATGAAAGAAGCAAATTCCAAAGAACTATAATTTATAGAGCAGAAGCAGTCACATTAAAAGGATGAGATTTAATAGAATGACGAGTAACACAAAAATGAATTTTAGTAAATGACACAAGAGATGCTAGCTTTATACAACAGTGCCCAAAACTTTAATACTATAATGGGTATTATTATTTATGATTGGTTATTACTGTTAGAATATCAGCTATAGAAGGAGAAGATCCAAATCCATATTGATGATCAGAAAGTTATTAGATTCAAGATGAGATATTAAGTGTTTGTTAATTAAAGATTCAAAAATCTTGCCTATAATAGGAAGAAGACTATTGGGATGGTAGTTAGACAGGTCAGGTCGCTCTCCAGAGTTTTTGAAATTAGGGATAACAGATGCCTCTTTCCTGCATGCCGGAAAACAAGACTCTAATAAGCACTTTTTAAATAGTTTTGAAAGTATAGACAACAGCTCCGAAGAACACTTCTGCAAGACTACAACAGATATGCTGTTCGGACCACAAGCTGTAGAAGAGTCTAAACAGAAAATCACTTTTGATACAGAAGATGGAGTAATACGAATGTCAAGCTATGTGTTCAACCTGTTTGTCGGCTATATCTATAACTATTGGAATCAAGAGATGATATTGACAAAATGTTCTTAGCAAACAGTTCAGTTTTGTCTTCAGGTGAGGTGACAAAATCTGAACCATACAAGAGAGGTGGAATAACAGATATGCCTAAGTCACAAAAGCCTAATTTTTGAGATAATATACAAGATTTAATAACCTGAGAATAATGGGCTTTTTACCTATTTACAATTGTTTCTATAAATAGTAAACAGGCGTTTGTTTTCTAGAGAATTGTTTTGCTAATAGATATGGAAATAATGGTTTTGATTGGAAATTGCAGCAGCACAATTTGAGGTAAACCAATGAGAGGAGTGAGGCCTGACTTGAAATTGTCAAGAAGGAATAAAAGATTCCATGCCAGCCTGAATCCAAGAAGTTATGTAAGACGCACATTTACCAGCAGAAGTCGAAAGATTTCTACCCAAGGGCCATCATAAAGAAAATCATGGAAAGAGTCCCAGTCAGCTTTAAGTTAGTTGTAAGAGGTAGGATGATAAGGGGTTCTGATGATAAATTGCAATAATGTATTCTTCCTATATTTATGAACAGTAATGTATTCGATGAGTAATCTACCCTTCATCTTCTAGAATTAACTCTGTTAAGATCCTTCTTGGAAACTGTATATCAAATCCATTGCAAAATTAGCATTTGCAAAGGTTGCATCTCTTTATTAAGCTTGACACTTTCTTGCTATGGGTTTTATTCTGTCTCTATAAATCTCAAAGCCGTCCTTGTATGGAATACTGTTGCCATATCTAGGACAGATATTTCAATAATGCCCTTTCTCTTTTAGATGAGGTGCAAAAATTCATTGTAAACTTAGTTGGACCTGCTCTTGCAGCCAACCTCCAACCATTATCACATCGTCGTAATTTTGCTTCTTTTTCTCTTTTCTACAAATACTATAATGGGCACTGCTCTAAAGAGCTAGTATATCTTGTGCCATCTACTAAAATTCATTCTTCGTCATTCAATTAAGTCTCATCCTTTTTCTGTGACTGTTCCTATGTGCTCCAAAAACTCTTATTCATCTAGTTTTTTCCTCTTTGGAATCAACTTTCTTCATCTTGCTTTCCTAATTCATATAATTTGCTATCCTTTAAGTTGTCTTTCAATCATTATCTTGCTCTAAAATTTTAATTTTTTCTCTTCCAGTAACTTCAAACTCTAATTAGTGGTTGCTTGCAGCCTTGTTGGAAGCAAAAATGTTTTAAAAAAATTAAAAAAAAAAAAAAAGAAGATGAATGAGATAATAGTTTTAGAAAGATCAAACCGTGATCAGAAGCAACTAAGGGTGAATGTGGAGAAACTGAGCAATGACTAGGATCAGAAACAAAACTTAAGTTGAGTAGTGAAGTTAATTGGTTTAGATTGTCTGGAAAGCAAGTTGGAAAATTGACTATTTCAGTTAGAGATTGAGAAATGCAAAATTTGTGAGCCTTAATGCCTGCAGAGTCACTGACACTAAAGCCAAATCAATCAGTGTGATGAGCATTTAAGTCACCAACAACAATATTGTCTGAAGGATAAGGGGAAAGGCTTGGTCGATTTGATCAGAAATAACATTGAAAAGAGATCTTGAGATAAAGGAGAGCGATATAAAACAAAGAGAAAGGCAATAGAGTGAAGTGGTGCAAAACAAAAGCACTTAGAAGAATAGTCGGTGGATTTAAATCTAGTTTCCTGACTGGATTCGTTTGAATGTAAATACCCAGGCCAGTTGGAGTCTTTACAAATTAAAAGAAGATAACAATCAACACTAAGATCACAGGATGAGATAGCCAAACTCAAATTAGTCTCACAATGAGTAAGTCTGATGAACTTTGCAAGAGATAAAATCTCTAAATCTATCATTGACTAATATTCGTCATTGACGAATATTAGTCAATGATAGATTTAGAGAACTTGATGATGATGATGGTTTTTTGAGTTTTATAATTTTTGGTACTTTAGTCATTTTTAAATTTGTTAAAGAACTTGGCTCAAAGCACTGATATTACTCAGTACACTGTTTAATAGTCCAAGCAATTGTCTCATTACTTATAATAAACCCAATGCACACCAAAAGTATGAACAGTAGGGTGGTCCATAAAACAACTTTTTTTTTAAATGTCTGCTTTCACCCTCTAAATGTGTTCTATATAATAAAATGATACTAGAATTGAAAAATTTTTGGAAAAAAAAATGTTTTTAGGGGTAGCTCAAGACCCTTAGTTGTATGGCAGGTCCCTATATTTATCAAAAAAATATTTCTTCAACAA